CCCCCCCCCCCCCCCCCCCCCCCCCCCCCCCCCCCCCCCCCCCCCCCCCCCCCCCCCCCCCCCCGCCGCGCGGGGGGTAGACAAGGTCCTAAACCAAAACGCATTTTCAGCACAACTACTCCCATTGATTGAGACAACCACTTAATATAGATTTTTAGTTGAAGTGCATACACTTAGAGTGTACGTAGTAAAATCAAAACTGGTGACTCGAAATATCGTAAAATAACATTTTTGTGAAAATTCATACCAACAAAGATTGTTCTGAATGAAATCAATCAATCCAGATCTATAATTTTTTCAGGACCTTAATCGTTCCTTTGATCATAAATCTAAAAACATTCGACATAGTCATTATATTTAAAAGGATAGATATTCACCAGAATAGCTGAAGTTTTATTTAAAAAAATTATAAAAAGGAAAGAAAATTTCTTACATAGATTTTGTCTTTGATATGTTTCATATAAAGTCGATAATCGTCTAGATAGCAGTAGAAATGTGGAAGAAAAATCAAAAAGTACAAAAAATTTTACACAAGCAAAAATAAAATAAATATTAAAATAAATCTCATATCAATTTCTTGATCTACAAACAAAAATCTGACTCGAAAATACATACAATAAGAGACATAACAAACAGAAAAAAGAAAATTAAAACATGTTGTGAAAGATAATCACAGAATAAACAAAAAAACTGATATAACTAACTGCAAAGGTACAAAAGTGACTTTAATTATATATAATAAACGTACAGTTAAAAGGTTAATTTATTTTTTACCGGATGAAAGACATGAAATGTTTCAAATAAGTGCAACAAATTTTTCAATATCACGCACAAATTGTTTTGGAACTTCTAGTGCAGCAAAATGTCCGCCTTCTTGATGATATAACCATTGTTTAATATTTGGAAATTTTGATTTAACCAACACTTTTGGTGTATAAAATATTTCATTACGATAATTTGATATAGCCACTGGTACACTTTTAGTCAAAGGACCATAGAGTAATTTTTTATCATGACCAGACATAATAGAATTCATAAATTCATAGTAGAGACGTATCGAAGATGTAATCGTTTCTGTTGTCCAATAAATCATTATATTTGTTAATAACTGATCAAGAGTAAAACGACTAAGACCAGAGTTAGATGATGAATCAATTTCAGTTTGATTATTACTTCCTATAGAAAATTTTTCTAATATATATGAAGCTAAAACAAAAATATTAAATTGTCAATGATAATAAGAACATCAACGAGACTTACCTAAACCGATTGGTGAATCATTGAGTCCATAACCTAATGTGTCAGGTTTCGTTGATTGTAAATGAAAATATCCAGATTCTTTCCACAAAAATTTTAGATCATTCCATATATTATAATTTGGTTTGAATGCTTGTTCATCTTCATCTAATAAAAATGATTTGCTGATTGTTCCCATTAATGTACGAATAGAATTTATTAAATTTGATGGAAATTCAGTGACCATGGTTATTAATAAACCTTTAACATGTGTTGGGTATAATTTTGCCATCAGAGTTCCAATAATCGATCCCCAATCACCTCCAACAACAATATATGAATTATGGCCAAGACGCTGCATTAAAAGATGAAATATTCGAGCTATTTGTTGTGGTGTCATTTTTGATCGCGTTGTTATATCAGAATAACCATATCCTGGCAATGATGGAGTGATTAAATCATATTCAATCATAATTGATGTATTCAATATTTTCATTACATCTAAATAGAATAATACGTTCGCGTAAAATGACAACACGAATTAAGACAAATAACAATATCTATCGGCATGATTCTCACAACTAAAACCTATCAATATACTCGTTTTGATTTTCTCAAAGCCAACCTAAATATTCGTAGAATGATCCGGGCCAACCATGTAAAAATAAAATTGCTTTTTTATGTTGATATTGAGTTGATTTTGTTTGTGTTCGGACAAAATGAATGTTGATACCATCAATCATTGTTTTATAATGTGAGAATTCATTTAAATCAGCTACAACTTTTTGCCAATCAAATGTATTTAACCAATAATCTCGAATAGGTTCAGCTGTTTGACGATTAAAACCATATTGTGATTGTGTGATATTTTCTGGATCATTTAATGGTTGATAAAAACGTGTCTTTCTTAAACGCGAATGTAAATCATCTAACTGAGAATGACTAAATGGAATTTTAAATGGATATATTTGAATATCTGAGTCCATATCGCGGTTATGATCAATGGGACCAAAATATTGATCATCGAGTGAATAACATGGTGGACGATGATCAAATAAGGAATAGAGACCATAAATGATTGCTGTTAATAAACCAAAAAAGGCTAAAACATGATGTAAACGCGTTAACGCCATTTTAATATCTGAAATAATCAAAGTATTATGCAAAAACAATAATTATTTGTACAGTCATACTCAACACACAGTCAGTACAGTATTCTGACGTCGCACTCAGTTAGAATATCATAAGCTAGTGGCTAATTAAAACTAGAAGATGAAGCGAGCCAACTATCATCTGCAATTTGCAATTGCCCATCGCTTCTCTTCTGTTCTGGTAGGCAGTAGCTTTAGATAAATACGTAGTAATATCGTAACTGCCATTCTAAATCAACTTTTTCTCTAAATTAAAGACAAAACAACCAATAGAAATTTATTTCCTATATGTATGTGTGATTGCGTTTTTCTCTTTTATCTACGAAAAAATATGAATAGAAAAACAGCATGATAAAGCAGGAATCATTAGACAAAGGTTTCTTAAATAAATTGATAAAAACTACAAATCTAAATCATCCATACAAAAATAGCGTTTATCTCGTTTATATTCAACTGTAAAATCATTTGACATATTTCAAGATTTTCGGTGCCCACTAAACAAAACAAAAAGATTTTAATAATAAAAATTGACAGTTCGCTATTTGTACTTACACACTCGTCCACGCAATGAAGAAAATCAAGTAATTCTTCTTGACATGTTTCTTTTGTCCACGGTTTTCCGTTTACGCGATCATTGCATGCGTCTAATTTTTCTTTCAATTCTGCACAAGCATGATCATTACTACACAGTTCTTTTAATTTCGTCAGTGGATCCTAAATCAGAAATAAATAAGTGAAAATTTGAATATTATTCTCAAATATTATTCTATATACTTCTTCCTGAGACTTCATTTCTTTTTCGATTTTTTCATTATCGTAATGATGTTTATGTGCACCAACACCCATGACTCCACCTGTGTATGTATTTTTCTATCTGAAAGAAGAATTGTAAGCATAATAATTAACCGAATGAAGAATTATAGTTTCACAAACATTTAAGAAGTTGAGTTTTGCACATATGAGAATCGTCAAGCATTGCTCTGTCCTCTCTCTACGTTTCACTACTCAAGAAAAATCTCTTGTAAATTCTTTTATGGGTTCAATTGAATAACAAATAATACAGGTGCTATTGTCCACTTAAGTTTGCTTAAATATACTTAAAAACTTCAAATCTATATGGTGAAATTAAACTTCATACATTCTCCGAATGCTAGCGAAAGATCATAATTGATTCGATTGACTGACAACTATTTAGAAGATAAAATCAGCTTAAATCTACTAAATGATGACTAATTATTCATAACAAGTCTCATCTGTGAATCAATTGATTCGGTAGACCGATTGTTTGACCATCCAGTTACATTGGTCAGACATAAAGCGCAAGTGTTAAGTAGCAATAGTTCCATTTATTAATCATTATTACTCGAATTTTAAGTGTGTTGTCAAATATCCAATGGTAATTTATCATATTAATAAAATTAATTGCACCATTGAATGAAACTGCATAATATGATGAACCAAAGCTAGTTCTAACTCGAAATAGAAATATACATGTTATTCTATACAAGCAGTTTATTTATCATCATACTGATGATGACGTTAAGAGAAAGGATTCTGAGAGCAATTACAGTATTGTATACGGACACTCTTAAATTTATAACAACAGCAATCTACTACTATCCATTTCAAAATAGAATAGACTCGGTTGCTTTTTGGATAGCACAGGAACGTTACTAGCTAGTAGCTAATAACGTTCCTGAGCTGTGAAATGAATAGTAATCTTCTACTAATGAACAACACAAAGGCAATCGACCTTAGCTCCTTCCAATTTACAACAACACTTAAATTAATTGTAACTAATATATCTGATCTAAACTAACTTAAACTTAATGAAGAGTTACAAGATGTATACTTAAAAAAAGATTACCGAGGGAAGTCCACCAACTTGAAAATCGTTTGCGAACCAAAATCCAGTGAGTCATAGGTTATCTACGGTCCTGAATTCGAATATCACCAGGAGGCCGGCTGCTAAGCCTCCAAAAATCACAAAAAATCCCCACAACTTTTTCTAAATATGTCACGATTGTAGCCCGCGAAATTAGGATCAAAATGAGACATCTCCCAGCTCTACACGACCTTTCTATGCAAAGCTATAGAATTTACAAGATAAGCCCTAAATGTTCATTGTCACCTCAGAGCTACAGAAAGAAAAAGGAAAAAGGAATTTAGGGCTCATCCTGTAAATTCTACAACTTTGCAAAGAAAGGTCCTGTAGAGCTGGGAGATGTCTCATTTTGATATCTGGTAGTTGGTAGACTTCCCTCGTAAGTAAACACCACTTTTGGGCATTTCATTTACGCTCAAGTACTTGGGTAAAAAGGCCTTACCACTCAAAACGTTGGGAATTTTTTAAAATGACACTCACCAAAAAAGCCTAACATCAATTGACAATT